CTTACAGTACAAGTTAAGGCAGCGTTTCCCAAGCTGTGTTCTATGGGACTCCATTCAGTGAGCTGTAAATCTCCTGTCAACATAGTGGGGAAAAGCAAAGCTGGCAATAATTTTTCTTCAACTTTATATTTTAAAATATAAATAATGGAGAAGCATCTTACATGGGGTTACCTTCTAAAGTCAGTACTTAAAGTAAAAATTGTGTCTGGTCAAAATTGCCTTTGCTAAAACCTTTGCTTCGTGCACGAAGCATAGTAAACACACCTCCCACCTCCCAGTGAGTCCATCAGAGCCAAGTTTTCTTCCAGCTCTGGAACAAGGTGCTGTTTTTCCAGTTTTGCTCCAGGTGAAAGTGAAGGGGACACGTTGGGTGGAAAATATGTACCTAGATTAACAGGTAGGGCAGCAAAAGACTCTGTGAGAAGCATGTAGGAAGGACTGACTGAGGGAATCCCAACTCAGTACCATCTCACACTTACTCTGGGCACCAAGTCACTGAATCATTGTCCTATTTAAATTTAAATTGCACTTCTTTTCTCTGTGTCCCCGTGGAACATGTATAACTGAATTCGAGGGAATTAAATGCAGGTAAGGTTAAGATTCCACCATATGAAAGGAAAATATTATTGTAAAGTGTTTGTATAATAATCTGTTCTTACATGTACAGTAATCTGCTTTTAAGAAATCATGTGCTAGACCCAAGAATACCAGGAAGTTACATGGAATCTGTTACATGGAGTTGTGACATAAGATCTATGTATTGATGCATAAGGGAGCATTTACTAACTATGCTCTTTATCATTGGTTCTGTGATATTTGGTCTAAGTCATGTGTCTTATTTTAGAATTCTAGCATGTGTTTATTCAATATTTGTTGCATAGTAAACATATGAATCAAATAATGATAATCCTAATAATTAATATTAATAAGAAGAATTAACACTTAGTAAGGGCTTGCCACATGCCAGGTATTTTTCTAGCAGCTCTGCATTTATTAACTCATTTAATTCTCACAAGAAGCATCATCCCCATTTTACAGATAAGGAAACCAAGGCTCAAAGAGGTGAAGGGTTTTGAATCTACATTCGGATCTCACACCCCAAGCTTGGGCGTGGTTACTTTGACAGTCCAAGGAAGGGATGTACTGTATATGAAAGTACCTATTAGGTTCAAAATTATTTTTAAAAGTAGCTACCATTTGTGGAGCTCTTACGCTATATCAGGAATCAGTAGGGCTTACATGCCTTTTCTTGTTTAATTATCACAACTCCATGAACAGATGCAAAAATGGAGGCTCAGAGAGTTTAAGTGATGGCCAAGGAAGCTTAGCCAG